TGCATGGAGCACTGGGTGTTGTGCACGAACAATGAATCATGGAACACTTCATCTAGAACTAATGATGTAATGTATGGGGATTAACATAAGAATAAAAAACAAAAAAAAAAAGAGTTCAACAAATGGAAAAAAAAAAAAATGACAGTCGGTACTTACTTCTTTGACCACCATGAAGCAGAACATGTCACAAGTGCTTGTATATATTATGACCGTCTGAGTTGCTACTTATAATAATCCTTCAAAGACATGAAAGCCAAGAAAAAATGGGACTTACCCAGGTCACGTGGCGTGTCAGAGAAAGAGGTAGAGCTGAGTGTAGGACTCTGCATGACTCTCCCACCCACCCCTGCCTGCAGGTGAATTTCAATAGCGCATGATGAAGGGAAGCTACAGAGCCTCTCAAGGACATCACACAAAGTCCCCTTCCAGGCAAGACTGGCTGTGTGTGCTGGGCCTGGAGATCCTTGGCAGCCCACCAGGCACCCTCCTGATGGCAGAAAAAGAGGCTTGTCGTGCTTCCACGGAAAATTTTGTATCCTGCTGAGTGTCTTAGAATATGGGCCAGCACCTGTCACGGACTCCTACCCTACCAGCACGTGGGATGCCCCAGGTGGTACCACTGTCTATCTCAGCCCCGGCTCACCAGGAATCCCGCCAGGAAGAAAAGATGCACTGTGCTTGGTGAGTCACTGGAGCACTTTCCGGTGCTAGGAGAGAGGAACTAGCCTGGATCCTCCTGGCCCCTCCGTGTCCAGAGGGCACATACCACTTGCACCACCCTCTGAGGATGCAAGCATGGCCTGCGTTTTCATCAACATCACATCTAGTTCCAGTGTCCTAGAGCACAAGATTCTACTTCTGGAATTCTGCCATCATACTGATGTTACAAGCCTGGCACACACACCCAGCTGAGCCATCCTCTGTACCTAGAGCAGGCACTGATGTGTGCCACATGGACGCCAGCCACTGACTGGGCCACCACCTGCTTCCACAGCTTCCCTCGGCCAGCACACCTGTTGCTCCTCTGTCTCCCCTCCCCTCCACACCCATCCTCCAGCTGCCTTCTGGAGCTGTCAATTGTGGCAGAGACGGGGGGCAGGACACTTCAGTATGAAGGGGAGAGGTTGGGGCGCCTTCGTGGCTCAGTCAGTTGGGCGTCTGCCTTCGGCTCAGGTCATGATTGCAGGGTCCTGATCAAGTCCCACATTGGGCTCCCTGCTCAGTGGGGAGCCTGCTTCTCCCTCTCCCCCTACTGTGCTCTCTCTCTCTCAAATAAACAAACAAAATCTTAAAAATAAAAAAATCACTCATCTAAAAGCAAAACAGTTTTCCAATAAAAATGCACACTGCTCAAATGACACTACAAATGCAAATGTGGAAGCTGAGACCGCACCCGGGCAGCTTTGCTGTTGTGCAGGCGCTGCCGCTCTGGTAACTAGAGGCTACGGAACGCGGTTCGCAGTTCCCCACAGAGGAGAGGGAGGCCTGCAGTCCTGGGAGCTTCAGTGAAGTCAGCGTGCAGCCCCGGAAAGCCAAAACAGGCCTCTCAGCCTCCTGTTCCCATCCCTTGGACGTGAAGTGGGAAGAAACTGAGAATCGCCTGAAAACCCTCCCAGGTCTATCGCCCTGAACAGGGCTGCCCTGGGGCCCAGAAGATTTTATGCATGAATAGGTGTTGCCACTTCTGGTTCTCAGAACTGGAGATCCAGCTGACTGCTCAGCAGCTGGCCAGCCAATGAGGTGCTGACCCCAGCAGCACATAGGTGTGAGGGTACAGAGGGGGGTACCCAGAACACCAGGGCGTGGGCTGCACTCCACACGGGAGCAGAGGTGCTCTCAGTGAGCCAGAGCACATTACACAAGAAGGAAAAGTGTTTTGTATTTTTTTTTCTTTAAAGATTTTATTTGAAAGAGAGGGAGGGAGAGCACAGGGAGAAGCAGACTCCCCGCTGAGCAGGGAGCCCCACTCAGGGCTCGATCCCAGGACCCTGAGATCATGACCCGAGCCAAAGGCAGATGCCCAACCGACAGCCACCCAGGCGCCCCAAGAAGGAAGATTCTTACATGAAGTTTTCCTGTCACAGTGGAACAGTGCAGGCACGCGGGTCAGCCGCTCATCCCACGCAGGCTGCAAGGGTTGTGTATTCCGGGGACACGGATCTTCCACGCCTCTCAGGACTGCAGAAGTCCAAGAGATGGTACTGAGTATGCACCTAGAGAAGCAATAATCCTGACACCCCTGGGGTGCTTGCTACGGGTGTTCAACTGTCGTCCTCAGCTCTACAGGGCAGCCCTACTAACATCTTCACTTTAGAGAAGGTAACACAGCTCATGTCACACCCAGGGTCACACGGCCTCACAATCAGCGTTTTAGGTGTTTTCAATGATTTCTCTTTGAGCTTTAAATTCCTGTTTACCAGTTTTCAGCACAGTTTTGGGGATGCTGAGGAATTTCCCACTTAGTCCTGGATAAAAGTGATATGCCACTGCCCCAGTCCCAATGGCTCCTACTTTAGAAGCCACTGGCCCTTGGGAGACAGCTGCTTTCCAGAGGCTGGAAGTCTATTTGAAACTAATCAGTATCTGGAAATGTGTGAAGAGTGGAGGTTACTAGATGGCGCCCGGGCACAGGAGCCTCAGGGGTCAAATTGACAGAGGAGATCAATGTCCCTTGGACTGCATTTTCAGGACGAGGCGAGCCTGCCAGTAATGGTCCTGACCCTTGCTAGGGCAGGGAGGCAGCATGGGCCAGGTGGCTGATGAGTTAGAAGGCTCAAGACACTTGAGAAGGTGCTGTGGCCTCCAACAGCTACCCTGTGCCTGCAGCCTCTCCATGCTGTTACCACAGGCCTGTGTCCAGATTAGCAAGAAAACCCTTAGAATGGAAAGGGCCATAGCCTGCCATGGGGAACAGTAAGGCCCTGGAGATCTGGGGGCAGACTTAGGGGAGCCCCAAGGGACAGGGGGTGGTATGCCCAGGAGACAGGGTCCTGAGTGGTCTCTGGCAAAAGAGAAGCAAGGGCAGGCCTGCACATGCTCCTTAGCCTCCTGGGAGACAGAATGGGGCCACTTAAGGCCCAAACCGGCCCCTTATGCCCACAACCAACACAGCCTAGCACCCACTGTGGTCTGTCTTAGAATTATTCAAGTCACCCTAAAACAAGATGAAGCCTGTCTTCACATCTGTCTGTAGACCCACTGCCTGTGATCTCATCTCACTTTCCCAAGGACGGCAGATGCTGGGGCCTCTGGGGGCAGCACACAGGTGTGCCAGACATAGAGCCAGGCCCTTTTCCGCAAAGCTGCCCACAGCTCCCCTCCTTAGTCTAGCAGAATTCTTTTTAAATATTTTTTTTTTAAGATATTATTTATTTACCAGAGAGAGAGAGACAGAGGCAGGCAGAGGGAGAAGCAGGCACCTTGCTGAGCAAGGAGCCCAATGTGGGACTCGATCCCAGGACCCTGGGATCATGACCTGAGCCGAAGGCAGACGCTTAACCGACTGAGCCCCCCCCGGCGTCCCAGTCCAGCAGAATTCTGAGTGCCACCTGCTGAACCAGCAGCCCCTAGAGCCGGGCCCTGCTCGGCACTCAGCGCAGGTCCACTGCAGAATGTAAACTTCTGCTCCACATCCCCATGTTGGAAGCCCCGTTCCACCCTCAGCCGTGTCACAGAGCAGCCCTTCTCCTCGGATGAGCTGGTGGTACCAGGAGAGAGTTTCCTCAGGTGTGAGGAAGGAAATGACGTCCTGAGGTGCCTACTATGGGTTTTAGGGTGTGGGGCCATGAAACAAGTGAAACTGCCTTATTGCACCCTGCCCCATCCCAGGCCCCGTCTGCATCCAACACAATACTCTAAGCAGCTACTGACGACGACAGCTCCGAGGACAGGAAGGCAAGAACCCACCCACTTCTCCCATTCACAGAGGGGCAAGGATTTGCCCCATGTCAGTCGTCAGTTAATGGGAAAACGGCACACGTGGAGAGTGTGGCGCTCTGGAGTCAGACAGCCCTGGGCTTGAAGCTGGTGGCCTTGGGTGAGTCACGGACCCTCCCTGAGCCTCAGTCTTCCTGGGACCTGGGACTAGAACCCCTGCCTCCTGGCCAGGCTGCGTGCAGAACAGTGACAACAGCAGGTGCCCAGTACCTGGCAGGGGAGCAGAGCACTTTCGGGTCCAAACACAGGTCTACTGGGGGGATGACAAGGCTCTGGAATTAGTGGTGATGCCAGCACAGCTCTTCCAACATACTAAAGCCACTGAACTATGCACTTTGAAAGGGTGGATTGTATGGCACATGAATTATAATTACATCCCCCCAAGAGCAAAACCCACCCAGGTGTGGATAGTTCTGTGTGTGTGCACGGTTATAAAAGAGATGGGGAAGAAACACCCCAGACAAGAATCATCGTCTCTGGGGTTGAAGTTTGGCAGCCAACGGTCAAGAGAGGTGAGGATTTCTGTCATTACAGACTTAAACACGCATATTTTAAACAAAAAGGTATCTGTGTATTTGCAGAACTAAAATTTTTGAAAAGAATACAATTTTAGGACAGAGCTGAGATGGGCAGCTTTGATCCCTGGTGACAGAGAGGAGGCAGGGGGTCTCCACCTCCTGGTGCACCGAGTTCAGCGGCTCTCCTCTGCCCCCGCCCTCCCCACATCCCAGAGATGACTTAAAAGCAAAGACTTCGGGGCCCTGGGAAAGGCCTCTGGCGTTCTGCTCGGCTCCCAACTATTCATCATTCATTGCAGAGAGCTGCTGTTGATCCAAAGCTGGGCCAACTGGCAGCAGCCTACGGCAGCCCAGGTGGGCTGCCCATGGGAGTTGGGAAGGCCTGGGCCCAGGCCAGCAGGAGGCACTCCTCCCCCGCTGCAGCCACAGCTGCAAACCCAATTCTGCAATCTGAACAGTCCCGCACATGGCCAAGGGATACCCACCCTGCCCCCACGGTCTCTGCCGCACCACACATGACCTGCCAGGGACACACACTGACACTCCCTTCTGGAGGCAGGTGAGACCGAGAGGGCAGGGAGGGACAGTCCGATGCTAAGCTCCATCTGTGCACGAGTGAGCACTCCTGGAGGGCCGAGGTGGGGTGCCGGGGGGATGAGGCAGAGGTGAAGGCAGAAGGCAGTGAGGGCAGTGCCTGGAAGGAGGACTTTCTGACACCAGTCTCCCCCAGGATCTGCTAGAGCAGCAGTTCCCCAATGTTTTGGGTCTCAGGACTCCTTTACAAACTCGATTATTGAGGACTCTAAAAAGGTTTTGTTTTTGTGGGTTATCAATACCTACCATATTAGAAATAAAAAATGAGGGCTTTTAAAAAGTATCAACTCATTAAAAACATCAATAAACTCATTACATGTCAGCATATATAGTTAAAATAACTACCTTCCAAAACAACTGTAATAATGAGATAGCTGGCATTGTGTTTCATTTCTGCAACCCTTTTTCATTTCACTTCCCTTACGGGAAGTCTGCTGGATTCTCCTATTTGCTCCTCCACCCAGTCTGTCGTGCTACGGTGTTTGGGTTGAAGTACGTGAAGAAAACCCAGCTTCCCAAAGAAAGCAGCTGGAAATGGGAGGGGCGTTTGAAGAGTCTCTTCAGGTACGTAACTGTGGACATTCTTCCATACCACACCCAAACCCGACCGGGGTAGTGTCTCAAAGGTTAGCTGCAATATGGAATCTGAATGCTTAATGAATTCTTCCTCCTGTTATGTTACAGTTCATCAGTCTACCTTGCATTTGGAATGGCTTTTACCCATGCATGGTTTCTAACAGCACGCATGGGTCATCTGGAAAACATCGGTTCACAATATGAGACCCGATTATGAAGATAGAACAGCGCTGATGTGTCTTATGTAATATTCCCCCCACTCAAATCACATGGCTAGCATCACCACCAATCTCATCGGAAAAGTCTTTAACTACTGGGAAGCTGTCAAGCTCGCAGTGGCAGATACAAGTTTCCCAAAATTCTAACTAACTTTCCCTTGAAAGTTCCCAATTTCATCACTGGCCACAAGTAGATTAACAAATTTATCATTGGTGACATTTACAAAAACAAAGGTCAGCGGTTTCCCCTTAAGTAGTGGGCTCACTGTTCATTTTCAAGAGAATGTCCACTAAGTCCCCAAGTGTGAATAACCACAGTTTGTGTGTCAGTTGTTCAAGTAAATCTGGAGCTTCACAAGAAAGCTAGTTCAGCTCACAATTCAAACAACTGTGCATATGCTTTCCCTGAGGCATTTGTCATACTCCACAGGTGTGTGATGTAGGTCTCATGTTTCATCACACAGAATAGCAGAGATGTGCACTTGAGGGTCAAGATGATTTAACACAGTAAATCATTTTTACTGCTTTTTCTTAAATGAGACCTGTGAGTGTGATGAGCATAATCACAAAGATGACGAGCCCAGGTTGGTGCCTCTGCCTTAAGTCAAACAGCAGTTCGGTCCTCGCTGCTTCTGCACCACAGGTGTGGCGGCCAACACGGTGTGAAGGGCACTGCCATAAAGAGTCCTGACCTTCAGCCCCGGCAGCCCCCAGGACACGGCCCCTGCTGTGCTAGAGGCAGCCCCGCAGACCACGAGGGGCTCCGCCGCCGCAGAGACCCAGAGCGGCCCGGGCCGGTGAGCCTCTGAGCTTGCTGGTGCTGCGCCCCGGCCCCGGCTGCGGTGTGCCCGGCCTGACAGGAAGCATCGGACCAGCTCGGACCCAGCTCACCACTTTGTAGCTGCGTGACCTCACTGAGCCTCAGACTCCCTCATCTGGAAGCAGAGGTAATCAGGCCTACCTCCAGGGGTGGGAGCAAGGTTTAAAATAACTAGTGTGTGCGAAATACCCAGAGCAGCGGCTCCGGACCCAGCACATGAGAACACGGGACAAATGGCACCTGCTGACAGCACCATTTATTGTGACCAACTTCCAACAGGAAGGAAAACAAAACAGGCACCAAGGCCTCTGCCATAGCAGCTTCTGCCCCCCCCCCCAGCTGTGAGGGTCCTGGTGTGTGCTCCTCACAGGATGCGGGGGGACTTGGAATCAAACCCCACCTGAGCGGCCCACCCAGCAGAGTTCATCCATGACACAGCCAAGTGGAGGCCACCTGCTCTGCGCGACTCCTGCAGAGATACCAGCAATCCTCCTCAGGGCCGACTCTCCTTTCGGGCAACTTCACGGTCAGTAATGGCCCTGGTAAGGGCGCTCCGCCCCAAGACTCTGGGTGTCTACCTGAGACCGTGGTGGCAGGTCGGTGGCCAGGCAACAGCAACTGCAGGACCACCTTTCCCAGGGGCCTCTCTCCAGAGGAACTCACCTTCCCAGCAGCCACAGCGCTAGATGTCAGAGGGCCTCAGGGGGCTCCTCAGTCCCCAGGACACAGGTTCCAGGCATCTGGCCAGAGACAGGACTTGTTGGGGAAACTGAAAAACAGTTTTCTACACTGCCAACAGCCTCCCACTGCTCAGGAAGGGTTGGAAGCCCAGAGTAAAAGCCAAACACCTTCTTGGGTCCTCTTGGCCACCCAGAGGAGGGGAGAAGCAGAACCCACCTGGCCCCTGCTGAGTCCCTTCACAGGAGGCCTGGCCCACAGGTGACTGCGTCACCCATTTCCCGCCCACCCACCCCTGGGGCCCGTGTGAGAACAGAGACACGGATGTGCAGAAGCCATGTAAGGACCAGGCAATATGAGGTGTCGCTGACTGGGGGACTTGGTTGCCAGAGATGGGCACTGACACCCTGGGCAACACCACGAACCGTCCTGTTCTCCAACTTCCCAGGGGCGGATTTAAGAACAGTCTGTGTGGTGGCCACTTCACAGAGGCCCTTGGAGGGAGGACGGCGCTTCTTCTGGGAATAACCACCTGTCCCTTCACGATGGTAGTTGTACAGCGTGGCAGGAAGTGAGAGCACGATCCCTGCCTTCCAGATGCTTAAAATCGAGTAGGGGGAGACAGGCATTAAATCATCACACCAGAAACGCCAAACATAATGAAAAGTGTGACCAGTGGCGTGCAGAAGTGGAGGAGACTTTGAAAGCACAGGAAAATTGGCCCTGGTCTGGGGATCAGGGAACGTCTCTCCAAGCAAGCCAGGAGGCAGGATTAACGAGACCAGCAGGCAAAGGAGAGGATGTGAAGAG